CTTTCCAAGTAACTATCCCCAGTGCAAGATGAACAACTGGAATGGTTTGTCTGGGAGGGACACCAAGACACTGTTAATTAAGACCTGAAGATTTCGGGAAGCCCTAAACACTGAGATGAATCTAATTATTTATATTTATTGATTTATTCATTCATTAGATTTCTATCCCACCCTCCCGCCGAAGCGGCTCAGGGCAGCTTACAACAATTATAAAACCAGCATAAATACATACATAAAATACAACTCAATAAAATAGCTCAGCTCATTTCCAATTATATTAAATACAATTAAAACTATTTAAATGTGGCGGTGTTGTATAATAAAGTGCAAGTGCAGCACAGCCGATATAGAGTCTTTCCTACTGGAACGCCTGGCGAAAAAGCTCCATTTTCACGGCCCTAGGGAATTGCTGGAGGTAGCGCAGGGCTCTGATCTTCTTGGGGAGCGCATTCCAGAGCATCAGCGCCACCAGGGAGAACGCCCTGGTCATAGTCGCCACCAACCTGACATCCTTAGGCCCGGGGGGTAGGGCAGGCGGTTTTGTGTACCAAATCGCAGTGCTCTCTGGGGAACATGCGGGGAAAGGCAGTCCCTCAGGTAGACAGGCCCCTGACCATAAAGGGCTTTAAAGGTCAAAAACAGCACCTTGAAGCGGATCCAGAACACTATTGGTAGCCAGTGCAGCGACTTTAGCACAGGCTGGATGTGCTCCCACATAGGGACGCCCATCAACAGCCTGGCCACCGCGTTTTGCACCAGCTGCAGCTTCCAGAGTTGTCCCAAGGGCAGCCCCATGTAGAGAGCATTGCAGTAGTCCAGCCTCAAGGTGACCATAGCGTGGATCACTGAAGCCAGATCATTGCGTTCGAGGAAGGGGACCAACTGCCTAATCAGCCGAAGATGGTAAAAGGCTGTCTTGGCAGTGGCTGCTACCTGGGCCTCCATTGTCAAGGAAGCGTCCAGGAGCACTCCCAAACTCCTGACCCTCAGCCCTGGTACCAATGGTGTCCCATCGAAGGCCAGTAGAGGAACCCATAACCCCGAACCGCTCCAATTCAGGCATAGGACCTCCGTCTTCATCAGATTCAATTTCAATCGGCTCAGCCTAAGCCATCCCGCCACGTCCTGCAACGCCTGGTCCAGATCTTCCGGGGTAGAGCCAGACTGATCGCCCAACATCAGATAGAGCTGGGTGTCATCCGCATATTGGTGACACCCTAGCCCATGCCTCTGGGCAAGGGAGCGCATATAGATGTTAAATAGCATTGGGGAGAGCACTGCCCCTTGTGGCACTCCACAAGTTAGTGGGTGCCTTCGGGACAGCTTCTCCCCAAGTGCCACCCTTTGTCCCCGACCCTAAAGAAAGGAGACAAGCCATTGCAAGGCAAGCCCCTGAATCCCCATGTCGGCAAGGCAGTGGGCGAGCAATTGATCATTGCCCGTGTCGAATGCCGCCGACAGGTCCAACAACAGCAGCACCGCCGTCCCACCCCGATCCAGATGTCTCTGGATTTGATTTGATTCATTCATACCCCACCTTTCTCCCCAGTGGGGACTGAAAGTGTGCTCCGCTCCTGATTTATCCTCACACCAACCCTTTCAGGTAGGTTAGGCTGAGAGGTTGTTGTGACTGGCCCAAGGTCACCCACCAACCTTCCATGCTATGAGTGGGGATTCGAAAATGAGTCTCCCAGATCCTAGGACTATACTCTTAACTTATACTCTTGACCTGGATAGCCCAGGCTAGCCTGATCTCATCAGATCTCAGAAGCTAAGCAGGGTCGGCCTTGGCTACTATTTGGAAGGGCGACCTCCAAGGAATACCAGGGTCGTGACGCAAAGGCAGGCAATGGCAAAACCACCTCTGAAATGTCTCTTGCCTAAAAAAACAGGTCTAGCTCGCCACATAGCGGGCATAATGCTAAAAGAGCTAGAACTTCTGGCTGCCAGACAATCTTAGGCTCTCCTGGCTGTACTATACACACTGCCATACGATAATTATTATTATTACTCTTAATGACTACCCCACAACATCTCATCTCTATATCTTTCC